CTCCCTCCCTCCCTCGAGGTTCCTGAGCATCTGCGCAACGCCTTTCATAAAATAACCGTAAGCGTGAGATTTTATGCACGTGTATTTACTTTGCGCTTTTCTTCTGGATTTATTCTCTAATTATGTAAATACGGAGGGTGCCGTTAGTTCGCGGAGCTCGCGGGCGGGTAGGGGCGGGGCGGCGACGCCAGCCGTGCCGCTCCCCTGCTGGCTGCACCACCGCCGCCGCGGAGCTAGTGCACGGGCTCGGCCCGCGCGGGCACAGTGCGCTCTTTTGTGCGCGCAAGTTTTGTGCGCCACTTTTCCGCTATGGCCACCCCTTATTTGCGCTACTTTTGTTCTCCCGCCGCGCTGCAGTCGCTAAGCGGTCGCGGGTGTGTGCCGCTGTGCTGCAGCCCGCCGCCGGCCCCGCCCCTCCTCCGCGGTGCCAACAAGGCCACGCCTACGTACGTATGGGCGTTTATTTGTCGGCGCCACATGGTGGGCCGCCAACCTCGAGATAATAAATGAAAGGGCGGCCAAGCCAATTTCAAGTCGCGCGGCACCAAAGCTTTTGCTTTTGTAATGTTGGCATTGGCTCCGGCCGGCGCCCCATACGCCCACACAGACACACACTAAGAGATAGGCGGGGCTCGTTGGCGAGACCATTCCCATTAATAGACAACAGGCAGAGGCGCCCACATTGGCGCGAGCAGTGTTCTGTGTGCCGAACGCCAAATAGTTGAAGAAAGTGCGATTCATGAAAAGACCAAAACACACCCATGAAAGAGAAGCCTGCGACGACCGTCACTGAGTAGACCAAGAGCTAACCATCAAAATATGCGAGGGAGCAATAAACTCCCATTTGATAGACATGATTCCCGAAAAACTTAATTGCTAGTGATTCTCGTCCGCTTATATTTTTTCCTTAAGTTATCTAGTGGTAGAAAACGCTTATTTCGACTTATTTGTACCATTTCCACGAGTTTCCCGCTTAGTTTAAGCGATATCCTTTGATTTCGATTAATTTTTATCTTGACTATTCTTAGGCAGGTGTACACATGATCCCGGAGTTGTTGCTCCCTCGAAAATATTGTTGCGGTAAGACTGGCATAGTTGTAGTTCTACCACCCACGAGAACTGCAAGCAAGCAGAACCATTTTCGCGGTTGGTGTGGCTCTGCCGGCTCTACCGGCTCTGCCGGCTCTACCGGCTCTGCCGGCTCTGCCGAGTGTTGGCATACTCATGCTTTTTATGTTTGTACCTTTTCTGTGTGTAGAAATTCCTACCGTAGCTATGGTCACATAGGATTTGAGTTGATGTGGTTCTGGTAAGCAGGAAGGCACCTCTTTATTATCGGGTATGAAATTCCGATGCTCGATGAGCCCGTGGCTTGTGGCCCGAGTACATCGGGTACCACTATGCGCTCGGCGCTTGTGTGCCTCCCGACCTGTGGATCAGCTGCTAACCCCACCCCGCCACGCCCCGTCCCGCCACAGAGAATGCGATCAACTCTATCCGTTATCAACAGGGGGACGCGGTGCTTGGCGCGCCTCCTAATGTGCCACATGTGCGGC